AAAAAATACAGAAAGAAACAACTTTAAAAAGTAAAGGAATATTACTATGGTTTCAACTTGGCGGTGTCCTCAAAAAATTCTCTATGTTAAAGAACTGGTAGAGCTGGTCAAATAGCTCAGCGGATTAAAGCACCTGCAAGCAGGCACAGGGGATGGGGGTTCGATCCCTGTGGTCTGCCATGCTGGTCCCACCCCTGGGGTATAGTGAAATAACAACTGAGACTGGACATGGTGGCGTGTGCCTGTAATCCCAGCTCTTGGGAGGCTGTGAACAGGCAGATCATTCCAAGTCCAATCTAGTAGTGAGACCCTGAACACCCAGTAATCCCTTCCCTTCCCTAAAAAAAAAAAAATACAAAAAACAAAAAGAAGTGGTCCCCAGGGAGGCACTACCGGAAGGCAGGAGAGCATGATGGGCCGAGTGGGGGACCCTGAAGACCACGGGGTGGGGGGGGTGATATCCCTCTGAAGGGAACTGGGAGGTCCCGTTCTCTTTCGGCCTCACTCTTTGCTACCTGTCTCTGGAGGGAGCGGCACGCTCTACCACGTGCTCCTGACAGGATGACTGCCTCACAGGAGGCCCACAGAAGGGAGCCGCTTGACATTGGACTGGAACCTCCAGAAATGTAAGCCCCCCAAAAAAACTGTTCCTCTTTGCAAGTTTGTTGCTCTGGCATTTCATTACAGCTACAGAAAAAAGATGGAGGCAGAGGAAACATTCTAATGATTATCAATTCAGGTTCCCCAAAATTGAAGGAAAGATTTTTTTCCCTGATTTAGAAAGCATAATAAATATCAAGACAGAGATATAGATATGAACATACACTTATGTATATCACAGTGAAGGGTAGTACGTTGAATGGAATGATCCACAAAGAGATAGGTAGTTATCTTAATCTCTGGAATTTATGAACCTTATTTCAAGAAAAATTCTTTGCAAATATAATCAAGCTAAACACCCCAGGATAAGGTATATACTAACAGATATGCTTATAATAGTCAGGGAGAGGGAGAGCTGAAATACAGACACAGGAGAAGGCCAGGAGAAAACCTATGCGAATATGGAGGCAGAGATTGGGATTATCATCCCATAAACTATAAATGCTTCATTGGGCTGGGGAGATAGCTCAACAGCATAAACATCTGCCTGGCAAGCACAAGGTCCTGAGTTTGATCCCCCATACCAAACAAATGACATATAAATAAATAAACTAATCAATTAATTAATTTAAAAACACCTTATTGTTAGAAGAGCAGAAATGTTAACAGAGTATAATTTTTTAATTGTTTAATAGAGAATAAAAAGAGCATGCAAAATCTTCTAAAAGGATTCCTTGTCCTATTTAAAAAAAAAAAAAAACACAAAGGAAGGCTGGTGCTATAGCAAGCACTTATAGTCCCAGATGCTCCTCAGGAGGCTGAAGCAGGAGGATCACTTATGCCCAGGAGCTCAGGGCTGGCTGGAAAGCATGGTGAGACTGTTTCCCCCAAACAAAAGGAGGAAGAAGAGGAAAAAGGGCAGAAAGGAGGAAAAAGAAGAGGCTCAAGAAGACAGGAGGAGGAGGAAGAAGAGGAAGAGGAGGAGGA